CTATCGATGAAAATTCTCTATGGGTTGGAACTGACTCTGCAGCACACAAGAACAACAATAACATCACTGAAAATTTGTGGTGGTGTGCCACCAAGATGGGTTTTGACTTATAGCGACCCTATATCGGGTTCTCAAGGCTGTAAATCTTTATGGGAGCACAAAACCCCATCTTTCTCCCTCGGAGCAGCTGGTGGATTTGAACTGCTGACCTTGTGGTAGCAGCCCAGCTCATAATCCACTATGCTACCACTGAAATATACGATGATAATTATGCTATTTTTACAGTATGGGTTTTACCTTTTGCTTCAATGCAAGAGAAAAGGTTTTGTAGAGTTCACGCTAATGTCAGAAATCTAACTCTAAAGATGATAACAGGGTGGAGGTGAGGGTTGCTATGATGATAATGCCTAGAATTTGTGGCGTGCCTTACAAAGGGCTGCCAAGCATCCGTTCATTTAAGCAGCACAACCATCCTGGAAAGTTAAATCCCATGATCCTAGTTCTGCAGATGAAAAGACCAGTTCTCAGAGAAATGATCAACTCTGCCCAAGGTCACACAATTCAGAGGTGCCAGAGGCAAGATATATCCATGTGTGGCTGGAACATCATGTTTGCTCTGAAATTGGTCAACGAAAAAGGAGAATAATGTACAAGGCAAAAGGAACTATTTCCCTTAGTAAAATTCTTTGCTCTCAGGAAATTTTTTCAGTGGTTTAGTACCAGAGTTGAAAAGATGTCAAAGCTTTCATTTCACAAACTCCATTTATTGAACACTTACAATCATCAAAGTTAAACCAGTCATGAGTCTGAGGACAGGTAGTCCCCTGCTTACTACAGCTCTTTTATAGATGGGTTTTCACATGTTGGATGTCCTGTTTCCACAGCACCTTTAATTATCAGTATCTTTATAAATCTGATCTTTATTTGTCTGTGAGCTTGGAAACATTGCATGTAAACTTGCAGCTATATTTTAGTACATACGTGCATACATAACATTCACAAATCATTAAAAATGACAGTAGTCAGTGTAAGTCATCATAACTCGAATACGTTGTAAATCGGGGACTATCTATATTACTATCATCACCTAAATGTAATCAAAACTGGCTTAATGATTACCAGGTAATGCCCTAAAAGAGAGCACAAACAGACCCCAATTTAATTTCTGCCAAACGCTTCAAATGCTTGATTTTGCAACAGTTACTCAAAACTTGGGCTGACTCAATGATGTGACTGCACTTACATTTTGCTCTTCATACTGTGAATGAAGATTCTGCTAACAAAGCCTGCTTAGTCCATAATGTGGCGGGATACTGAAGACTGGGCATGCGGACGAAAGTCGGTGTAAAATATGTCAGTGCAGATGTATGGCCTTTCGTGTGTGCTGTGATTTAAGGAAGCGGCCATGGGTTCAATTGAACACCGAGCCACCCTTCTAAAATGTGTTTTATCCTCGGCGGTGATGGGTGGTCGTTAAGTGCCGTCGTGTTGGTTCTGAATAATAGTGACCCTGGGTTTCCAAGGAATGGCTGGTAAGCTTGAATTGTGGTTCAAACTGACCTTGCGGTCCAGTGCTTATCCTACAGTGCCATACTCCTTTAGCTCTTCCAGGTCCCACGTGGAATTTGTGAAGTATTTCTTCACAGAACAAATCTGGTTCAAAAAAATTGTTGATCATGAGACATGAAGACTGAAGGGGGTCTGTGTTTAAATTTAATTTCCACAAAGATGGAAGTTGTGTGACTTGGGGCAAACTGTTCATTGACACATCCCTTCAGTTGTCCACTGGACTGTGACCCACAAAGTCCACACTTCAAGCCCACCAGCCATTCTGTAGGAGAAATAGAAGGCTATCTGCTCGCACAAAGATTTAAAGCCCTGGAGAGCCTGTGAGTTGAAATCAACTCAACGGCCCTCAACTACAATGATGGCTTGGTTCAAATGTCGCCTTCTTTGGCAAATCTATTTTGATTTCTCCCACTCTGCCTAGATTCTTAGCTAGTCCCTCTCAGTGTTCCCATAGTACCCCAGGCTGCCTCATCAACGCTGCCCAGACTGCAGTAAAACCACTCTTCTCTGTAGTTCTCGCGATTTTCCACTAGCCTGTTAACTCACTGAGAATAGTGGGCAGCTATTTCCTATTCTTGGTTGATAACCCCCCAAAATCCACTACTGTTGAGTCACTTCTGAGTTACAATGACTCTAGAGGACAGAGTAGAACTGCCCCCATCGAGACTGTAATCTTTCAGGAAGCAGACTGCCACATCTTTCTACCTCGGCACAGCTGTGGTTAACAACCAATGTTTAACCCTTAGAGCCACCTGGGTGCCTCCTATATATTTTCCTTGGGAAATCACCTCCCTGCTTTTTGAGTTTTCCTTGTAGAGCAGTCGTATGCAGCCTGAACCTCACTTTTCTTGAGTAGTCACTGTTTGTGTCCTGCTGTTACTATTGTTCTATGCCAAGTTGATTCTGACCTCATATGACACCATGTGACAGAATGGAAACTTCCCTATAGGGTTTCCTGTGGACTCCTGGTGTGGTGCTATAGAATCAGCACTAGACTGGGAACCCCAAGGTCGATGGTTCAATCCCACCAACTGCTCCTCAGAAACTTGGTGCAGGGTTGCTATGAGTCCAGATCAACTTGTTGGCACGTAACAATAACAAGGATTTATTGGGAGCAGACTGCCAGGTCTTCTTCCATTGACGCCACCATGAGGTCAAATGCCAACCTTTCAGTTCGCAGCTCCTTTGTGAAAAGGTGGTGCTGTTTTTATTAAGTGCTGGCAAGTTGGTTTCAACTCATAGTGACGCTGGATCTGGTTTCTGAGGAGCAGCTGGAGAGGAACTCAAATTTTCACCATTTTACAGATGAAAACATAAAGTGTCAGAGGGTTTGGTCAATGTTTCACAGTTACAGCTGAAGAGCTGGAGTATGAGCTGGGCTTTGGTGCTTCATGGGGTGATTTGATGAACCCCTGTCTGCTTGATGGCAAGTCGTACAAGAGCAAACCAGAGGTTAAGTGCTTGTTGGGCTTGCTTCAGAATTGCTCCAGATAAATGCCTTTTCATCTTCTGACTGTCCAGAGATACAGCCTACAAGGATGGTTCTTTATGCTTACCCTTTGTACAAGCACCAAGAGTAAAATAATCCACACCCATGCCCCCAGTCCTCAGCCTTATAAGCATCTAACACGTTGCCACATTTCTTCAGAACTTGAAGAGATTACACAAAGAACCACAGAGCCAGCCTTTGAGGCCTGTCACCGCCTCTGCTCGGCTCTGGCAGCACCCTGAGCCCCTCCTCACACAGGTTGGTACCAGTCGCTGAGCGTCCATGAGTCATGTCTGAGCTGTTCCCAGGTCCCAAAAGGAAAAATTCCTTAAATTGGAAAAAAGCAAACCTACAAACTCACTTGAATGATCCAAAGTGTTCTTGTGGAAACGTTCAGATGCCGTCAGCTGGGACTGGAGGGGTGAGTCATGGGAAATTCCTCTCGGAGAAAGAGATGCTGAGTATCTGCGAGATGAGGCAGCTGGCAACTCTGCCCTCGGTTCCTCCAACGCCCAGTCACCAGCCAGAGAAGAACAGTCCAAATCACCTCCTAGAAGGCAGAAGAGTTCTGTCTGTGGGAGTGTCCTGTGCGTACCCATCAGTGCATGTGTGTACGCATGTGCTTATTTGTGTATGTTTGTGATAGTATGAATGTGTTTGTGTGTGTGCATATGAGTGCATGTGTGTATGTATGTGTGCATGTGTTTATTTGTGTATGTGAGTGAGTGTGTAAGTTATTTTTGTGTTCATTTGTTTATTTGTATATAATTGGGTGAGTGCCTATGTGTGTATATATGAGTGCATGTGTGTACGTATGTATGAATTTGTGTGTATGTGTGAGTGCATATATGTACATGTGTGTGTCCCACAGTGTCCCCCTACCCTGAAAAGATACCCCGATGCTGTTCCATGAAGCCCCTCTGTTGAACATGCAGCCAAGCACTGAGAGCTGGATGGAATGAAGGTTTTAACCCTGTGTGGGACTCTAGGAGTTTTATACTGAATCTTCTAAAAAAGAGAGAGAGAGAGAGAGAGAGAGAGAGAGAGCACTAAACAGACAAGAAAAAGCCTAACATTAAAAAAAAAAAAATGACCAAGTTATTTTCCATATCTGAAGAGACATGATTTGGTCTCAATTCATACTTCTTCTAACTGACATTTAATTTTTCCTTCACCCTTAACAATAAATAGCAGGATCATCACGCATGAAACAGTTAATCAAATAGCCCTAAAACAAACCCACGGCCATGAAGTACATTGGAGCTCACAGAGTCTACAGGACAGAGTAGCAGTACTCCTCGTGGACCCGTGATTGTAATCCTTACAGAAGCAGACAGCCACATCTTTCTCCTGAGGAGCGGCTGGTGAGTCTGGCTCCCAGCCAACTTTCTGGTACCCAGCCAAGTGCTTTAACCACTGGGCCACCAGGCTTCCTACGTGGCCTTGGTGGTGGTTGTGTGCTGTTGAGTCAGTTACAACTCATAGGGTTCCCAAAGCTGTAAACATTTATGAAAGCAGAACGCCTCATCTTTCTCCTGCAAAGCTGCTGGTGGATTCGAACTACTGACCTAGCAGTTAGCAGTCCAACACGTAACCCACTATTCCACCAGGACTCCTTTAAACAGCCTATGATAGCATTATATTCCTGGTGTGATACTGTAGCATAGGCACTGGACTGATAACCCCAAGGTCAGCAATTCAAATTCACGAGCCACACCACAGGAGAAAGATAAGGCTTTCTGCACCAAAAAAAGATTTTGTTGTTGTTGTTGTTAAGTGCCATTGAGTCAGTTCTGACCCATAGCGACCCTGTACAGGGCTTCCGAGGGTGTAAATCTTTACGGGAGTAGAAAGCCTCATCTTTCTCCCACGGAGCAGCTGATAGTTTCGAACCACTGACCTTAAGGTTCACAGCCCAATTCATAACCACTACGCTACCAGAGCCTCAGAAATCCTCAATGTGCAGTGTGTCCCAGTGAGCTGGAATTGCCACTGGTAGTAAGTGAATGAGAACATTATATTTGAAGAAACTTACTTTATTCTGTTTCTCCTGATATATTGAATTCTGGTTTAAAACCAGTTGCCATCAACTCAATTCTGACTCATGATGACCCTACATGTGTCAGAGCAGAATTGTACTCTCCAGGCTGAGATTTTGGAAGTCATTTCCCAGGCCTGCCTTCCACAACACCTGTAGGTAAACTTGAAACTCCAGTATTTTGATTATTGGCCAAAAATATCTCTTGATCATTTGCCTTACCTTACAATTTAAGCAAGAATTGGAATGTTGAGAATTAAGAATTGGAGTATTAAGAATATCTAAGCCCTTATATTTAAGAAAGATGGTTCTATTTCTTTCAAGCACAACATTGCCATCTCCTTGCATGTAAAGTGGGTATTTTGAGGGGTTTGATATCTCATTTTGCTGGAATCCATAGTCAAGGTCATGGAAGCAGCAGTCAAGAAATCAGAATATGTGATGCAGTGGGTAAATCTGCTGCAAAAGACCTCTTCAATGTGTTGAAGAGCAAAGATGTCACTTTGAGGACTAAGGTGCACCTGACCCAAGCCATGGTATTTTCAATCGTCTTGTATGAATATAAAAGCTGGACCATGAATAAGGAAGACTGTAGTAGAATCAATGCATTTGAATTATGGTGTTGGAGAAGAATACTGAAAGTATCCTGGACTGCCAGAGGAATGAACAAACCTGTCTTGGAGGAACTACATCCAGAATGCCCCTTCGGAGTGAGGATGGTGAGATACTGTCTCATATACTTTGGACAGATCATCAGGAGGGGCCAGTCCCTGGAGAAGGACATCATGTTTGGTACAGTAGGTGGTGGTTGTATGCTGTGGAGTCAGTTCCAGCTCATAAGGACCCTGTACTGGGTTTCCAAGGCTGTAAATCTTTACAGGAGCAGAAAATCTCATCTTTCTCCTGTGGAGCAACTGGTAGATTTGAACTGCTGGACTTTCAGTTAACCGGACAACTAGCAACCACTGTGCTACCAGGGCTCCTGGTAGAGGGTCAGCGAAAAAGAGAAAGACCCTCAAGGAGATGTATTGACATAGTGATTGCAACAATGGACTCAAACATAACCAGTGTAAAGAGGGTACAGGACCAGATAGGGTTTCATGCTGTTGTTCCATAGGGTTCCTGTGAGTTGAAACTGACTTGAGATTACCTATCAACAGCAATGAAGGAGTGCAGAAAGCCACATTCAGATGTTACAATTAAAGATATTTATGGGTGTGGCATTGTTGTTAAGTTGTTAAGCGCTGTCCACTCCTGACTCATAGCAGTCCTGTATAGTGTTGCCAAGGAGCAACTGGTAGGTTTGAACTGCTGACTTTGTGAGTTCGAAGTCCAGTGTTGATACTACAGCACCACACCAGGAGTCCAAAAACAACACACTTCAAGGTTGGGTGGCCTGCTTGAAGCCATCTTTGCTTTCCCTAGGGTGATGGAATCAGAGCAGGGCATCCTATTTGGTCCTCCGGGCACAAGAAGCTGTCTTCTTTTCAACATGACTCGCAGGCTTTGGAAACATATCCGAGATTGTAGTAGGGGGATTCTGAGGAGCTGCAAACTGTGGTGGGTAAAGAATGAATTGCCACTGATGAGCAAAGGTGTCTCAACACAGCTGTGGAAGGGGTGAGCTAAGGACGAACAAAAGAGGCAAGAAAAAGATTCCTTTTAGCCTAAAAATGAAGCAAGAGAAAATCAGCAAAGTATGTTCTGATTGTGTCCTTTGCACCAAGAGAAAACAGCAAACCAAATGAATTTTGAGTTCTTGAGTTTTCTGGCTAGGCGATGTTTCCAGAGAAAAAGTAAATTGCCGATAAAAGTCACGGGACCGTGCGTAAATCCAGAAAACAGGACGTCTGATTACAGTTGACAGCAGGGATGAGAGCTTTCAAAGTGTGTGCTCCCGTTTGACTAATTACTAATTTGGGAGTGGGCTGCCTGGTTATATATAGAAAGTATTTGGGAGCCAGGAGAATTTGAACAACAAAGCCCAGGCTTGTACAGCACTACTGTGGCCCAATGGAAGTAAAATTGTTAGGACTTGTTTTGAAGGGAAAACTGGATGCTGATTGCCAAGTTTCCAAATTTCCAAATATGTGGTATCGTCCTTTAGAACACTGATTCTCAAATGCTCATCAGCCAACTATCATATTGCTGGTTTTTGCCATCTCCCAGAACCACTTGATCTTAGCCACTTAATAGCTTCTTCTGCTTATATCAAATGACACTTGTACTTTTTAAGAAATGTTTTTATCAAAAGCTTAATGCCTTAGAAAGAAAGTAATGTAAAAATAAATACAATCAAAATGTTGTTGTTGTTAAGTGCTATTGAGTCGGTTCGGACACATAGCAACCCTTGTATAGAGTTTCCAAGGAACAGCTGATGAGCTGGAATGGCAGACATTGTGGATGAAACCGACTTTGCATTAACCCACAGCACCACACCAGGACTCCATAATGAAAATAAGACTGTTTAATTTGTGCCAAATATAGGAGTCCCAGTGTGGCGCCGTAGGATAAGCACTCAATCTCAAGGTTGGTTTGAGCAGCAAGGTTGAAAGTTCAAATTCAGCAGCCATTCCTCAGAAACAGCACATGTGAAGTCCTGGTGTGGCACTGTAGGACAAGTTCTGGACTGCTAACCGCAAGGATGGCACTTCATGCCCACCAGCTGCTCCTTGGAAGTCTTATGCAGGATTGCTATGAGTTGGAACTAAGTGGATAGCACTTAACAAGTACATGAACCGTTTGCACCATGCTGTTGTTTGGTGCCATGGAGTTGTTTCTGACCCATAGCAACCCTGAATAGGGTTTCCAAGGAGCAGCTAGTGGGTTTGAACCACCGGCTTTGTGGTTACCAGTCCAGTGCTTATCATCTAGTGCCACACCAAGACTTCGGTCATGTGCTTAGCTGCTGACAAAAGTTCAGAGGTTTGAGTGCCCCCCTGAGGTGTTTGGGGAGAAAGACCTGCTGTTCTATTCCTGAAAACTCAGCTACAGGCAAACTGTGGAGTATACCTGCACTCTGACACAAGTGGGGTTCCTCTGGGTCACAATGGATTCAACTGCAACTGGCTTTTACTTTGCAGCCCAACGCTCTGCCATTGTTCTAACTTTGTGAAAACAAGAGCATTAGAGAGTCTTAATCTCTGAAGGACTCTCAGCTTCAGCCAGGTCTTGTATTCAAGTTCCAGTGTGGGCACATTGGATAGGTTACTTGACTCACTCTCCATGCCCACGTTTTCTAAACATAATACTGGCATACCTTGTTTTATTGCACTTCATGGGTATTGCTTTCTTATCTTTTTAAAACAAATTGAAGGTTTGTGGTAACCCTGCAACAAGGAAGTCTATTGGCACCAGTTTTTCCAACAGCATGTGCTTACTTGTCCATTTTCCTTGTTGGTTATTCTTACAATGTATCCAACTTTCTCATCAGGCTACCCTCGAGAACCCTACACAGGGTCACTGAGTCAAAACCGACTTGACGGCACTTACCAACAACATTGCATACTTCATGGACTACAGTTGAAAGTCCACATAACTTTTACATGCACTGGAATGCCAAACTATTCCTGAGACTAGCTCTATTGTAATAGTGGCTTTATTGTGGTGGTTGGGAACCCACAACAGCTCCCAGGTCTGGCTGTATGTATAGCATAAGAATTAAATAGGATGGTGAAGGTAAGGCATAGTTCCAGGCCCATTGTTGTTAGCTGCCATTAAGTCGGTTCTGATGTACTGCGACCCCGTGCACAACAGAACAAAACACTGCCTGGTCCCGCATCATCCTCACAATTGCTGCTACACTTGAGCCCATTGCTGCTGCCACAGTGCCAAATCTATCATTGGGGGTCCCCCTCTTTTTTGCTGTCCCTCCATTTTATCAAGCATGATGTCCTTCTTCAGGAATTGGTCACTCCTGATAATATGTCCAAAATAAGAAAGACGAAGTTTGGCCATCCTGGCTTCTAAGGAGCATTCTGGTTGTACTTCTTCCAGCACAGATTTGTTTGTTTTTCTAGTAGCCCATGGTACCCCTAATATACTTTTCCAACCAGGTGTGGTGCTGTGAGTTAATGTGCTGGACTGCAAAATCTGTTTGAAGCTCACCAACTGCTTGTTGGAAACACAATACAGGGTCTCTATGAGTTGGAACCTCCTTGACGGCACTTAACAATAACAGCAACAACACACCATAACTCAAATGCATCAATTCTTCTATGGTCTTCCTTATTCATTGAGTTCAAGGCCTACCACTTTGTACCCCAACTGGGTTGAATTGTACCCCAACTGGGTTGAATACAGGTCATCTAAATCTGACTTTGGCATCCTTTTTCTACCCATATGAAAAACACACATTGGGAATGTGTGAATATTTTTCAGGTATTACTAATTTAATAATGTACACAGGCAGTTGAAACTTACCAGCCGTTCCTTGGAAACCCTATACAGGGTTGCTTTAAGTCGGAACTGACTCAACGGCACTTAACAACAATGACAATCATGCATTTGTGTCATTTGAGTAGTGTGAGGACAGCAATAGGTGAATTTTGAAAATGTGGCCAATCATCTTGATCAAAATTTCTATCTTCTCTGGACTTTACATGTGTGTGGCACTGTAGGATAAGCACTGGACTGCTAATCAAAAGGTTGGTGGTTCAAACCTACCAGATGCTCTTTGGAAACCCTATAAAGAGTTGCTATGAGTCAGAACCAACTCCACAGCACTTAACAACAACAACAGGGCCATGTGGTTAACATTATTCACTTAGAAAAGGTATTTCACAATGGAAAGGGGATTTGAGCTCACTGTTTTCATCGCAATGGTAAGTGTCCAGTCTTCTAAGCCCTTCAAACCAGATGTCCTCACTTGGGGAAGAGCTGGCATCACCAAAGATCCTTCCGCGTAGCCAGGACTTAGAGGCGCTGAGACTGAAGAGAGACGAGAGGTCACGGCGGCTCCTCTTTTTTCTCCTAAATATTCTGGAAAGAAATGAAAGGGATATGGTGGAAACTGAACGGTAGTGACCTCAGGTCCAAAGCAGAGACTTTAGTGAAACTGATTTGATGTGCAGAACACAATTACCCAGACCAAGTTCATACACCTTATTTCATTATTCAGCCCATGAAACCTACCGATGTTGCCTGACTTCCTACAGCTTGTCAAGTGTTGCAGACCGTGTAGGCCTGGTCAGAGGTTCGAGGCCCTATAGGCCCAAGTGTAACAGATCTAGCCACTTGGCAGTTACTGGCAAATTGTTTTTCATCTTAATATCCAGTTATGTTTTATTAATTGCAAATATGAGCCCTTATTATCCACAGAGAAATATTAGAACCTCCTAAAGCCAAGACTAAAGGTTTCAAAGGTCAAGCCTTTCTCCAAAGGATTAACTAAAAATATCTTAGCTACTTCACAGTTCTTTGTTCTACAGACAAAAAAAGCCGTCTTCCCTGAATCTCTCCCAAGTGCAAGTTATTCAGCCAAGTTCCTGAAAACCTGGCTCAGGAAGTTAAAACAGCAGGACTCCACCCAAACTTTTGTCCTTACCTCTCACCTTCCCCCAACTGAGCTCATGTGCTATAGATATGTTAATTGGGCCTGAAAAACCAAGTTGTGGGCCTGGGATTCAAACCAGTGAAGTACGATGTAAAGTTACCTGAATGTCTGGAAAATTAATGATGTTAGCTGTATCCTGTTTTAGTCCCTCCCAGCTTGGTGTGAAGCTCCTCCCCTAAATAAAACAGAGGCCCAGGCCTCCCCAGGTGTGCATTACAAGTTGGAGGGCATGCAGTAAAGATTGCAGGGCAGTGAGTTGCTGCCTGCAGAGGCCACGATGCCTGTAGTCCCAAGTCTGCCCACCAGTGATGCATCCACCCTGGTTTCTGGATACCTCCTTGTCTCCCTCCTCCTGTCTGTCTGTGTATTCTTTCGCTATCTCTATCTCCGCCAGGTATCTCCTCCTCGTGAACTGAACCCCTATGTCGAGGCCGGTCCCCGACAGTCAAGGCGAGGATACTGAGACTAAAGACAAAGACTTGTTTGCAAAATTTCACAATCAAGGATGGGAGAAAGGAAAGAATAATTCTGACATGTTGTTATTGTTGTTAAGTGCCGTCTAGTGGGTTCCAACGCATAGTGACCCTGTATAGAGTTTCTGAGGAACGGTTGGGGAGCTTGAACGTAAGGTTTAAAACCAACAGAACCAAACCAGTTTTCTTGGAGCAGTTCTGACTCATGGTACCCCATGTATGTCAGAATAAGACTGTACTACATAGGGTTTTCAATGGCTAGTTTTTTGGAAGTAGATTCAACCTGCATTCAATAGAATGACACACTGCCTCGTCCTGTGCCATTCTCACAATAATTTTTGAGGCCTTTGTTGCTGCTACTGTATCAATCCATCTCTTTGAGGGCCTTCCTCTTTTTCACTAATACTTTACTTTATGAAACATGAGGTCCATCTCCAGAGACTGGTTCCTCTGGATAACATGTCCAAAACATGTGTGACAAAGTCCCATCCTCACTTCTAAGACAGAGATGTTTGTTCTTCTGGTAGTCCATGGTATATTCAATATTCTTCACCATCACCATAATTCAAATGCATTCCTTCTCCTTCAGTTTTTCTATTCATTCTCCTTCAGTTTTCCTTATTCATTCTCCAGCTTTTGTATGCATATGAGGTGATTGAAAATACCAAGGTACACTTTAGTCCTCAAACTAACAGCTTTACTTTTTAAATCTCTAAAAGGTCTTTTACAACAAATTTGCCAAATGCAATACATCATTTGATCTCTTGATGGCTGCTTCCATGAGCATTGGTTGTGGCTTCAAATAAAATGAAATTCTTGACAACTTCAGTCTTTTCTCTGTTTATCATGATGTTCCTTATTGGTCCAGTTGTGAGGATTTTTGTTTTCTTTATGTTGAGTTATAATCCATACTGAGCTAGTGTTAGATCTTCATCAGTAAGATCTTCAAGTCCTCTTGGCTTTCAGCAAGGAAGAATGCGTCATCTACATACCACAGGTTGTTAATAAGTGTTCCATTACTCACTGATCAGTTTGTTGTAATACGATGGTTTGCATGTTCCTGTGATACTGGAAACTATCCTACTGTATTCCAACTATTAACATGGCCACCCATGGTTGACAAGTTCCAGAACAGCTTCCAGACCAAGACAGACTAGAAAAAAGGACTTGGAAATTTACTTCTGAAAGAAATGGTGAATGAAGCCTTGTGAATAGCAATAAAACTTCATCTGATATAGTGCCTGAAGATGAGACTCTTAGGTTGAAAGGTACTCAACATACAACTGTGGAAGAGCTGTCTACTCAATGTAGAGGCAACTGTAATGACTTGGATGGAGTAAATCTTTCTGGACTTTCATTTCTGATGGTGATATGATACAAAATGAGAAGAAGAAGCAGCCAACATCCATTAATAGAACGTGGAGTTATAAAGTGTGAATCTAGGAAAATTAGAAGTCATAAAAAATGAAATGGAATACATAAAGATCAGTATCCTAGGAATCAGTGAGCTGAAGTGGACTGGTATTGGAGACTGTGAATCTGACAGCTGTATGGTTTACTATGCTGGGAATGACAAATTGAAGAGGAACAACATTGTACTCATCCTCAAAAAGTGCCCAAGTCCTATCTCTTGACTCCATGTATTCATTTTCTGTGGCTATCTTAGCAAAGTACCAAAAACAGTGGCTTAAACAACACAATTCAGGAGCTCTAACATGCCTACTCTCTATTAAAAATGCCAGCCACACCCTTGATGCTCTCTTCAGAACATCCCTTCCCTTTTTTTTGTTTTGCATTGTTTTGTAATATGTATTGGCTGAAAATTTTCCAAATCTTCAAGTTCTGGTTCCCTTTTGCTTAGTAGTTCCTGTCTCATGCCACCTCTTTCTGCTCAGATATTACTACTATAAGCAGCAAGGAGAAACCTACACCTTCTACCCTTTCTTCAAAAATTCCTCAGCTAAATGTCCAAATGCATCACCTTGCAATTCAGCCAAGTTCTCTGCCACTTCATAACAGGGATCACCTTTCCTTCAGTTTCCAATAGCATGTTTGTCATTTCCATCTAACCACTTCACCAGGAACCTTTAATGTTTATATTTCTAACAACATTCTATCCTTTATACTATACATATTTTCAAAAATGATAAAAACTCTGAAGCTCTCCTCACTTCTTCTGAACTCTTACCAGAATTGCCTTTAACATTCATATTGGTACAAACAGTCCCTTTGAAGCAATCTAAGTTTTTCCTATCATGTAACCAAGTTTCTTCTAACTTCTAACCATTACCCAATTGCAAAGCTACTTTCACAGTTTTAACTATTTCAGAACCCCACTTCTTATTACCAAAATCTGTATTAGACTCCTTGCGGTGTCATAGCAAAGTGCCACAAATTGAGAGGGGCAAAACAATAGAAATCTATTCTCACACAATTAAAAAAGTCAAAGTTCAAAATCAAAATGTCACCAGGGTTATGTTCTCCATGAAGGCTCTAAGGAAAAATCTGTTGTTTGCCCTTCTTTTAGCTTCTGGTGCTCCAGTAATTCTTAATGTTCCATGACTTGTAAACCTATCACTGCAATCTTTGCTTTCATTGTCACTTGGTGACTTCCTCTTTGTCTGTGTCCTCTCTTTCTCTTAGAAGGACACCAGTCATTTCGGATTTAGTGCCAACACTACTGTAGTGTGACAGTACCTTAAGTAATTAAGACTCTGCTTCCTAATAAGGTTATAATCTGTGGCTCTATGGAAGACATGAATTTGGGAAGGGGAGCACTATTCAATCCAATACACCATCCCTTATATCCATCTTCCCCATCCCCACTCTTTTATCATGGCCAATACTGCTTTCTGTCAATTCCTGGATACTGTGCCTCCAATTTTGCCCCTTCACCTTATTCATGCATCCACATGCCTGCCAGCCCATCTTCTATATTGTAATCAGTACTGTCTCTAAGAACACATGTGACCATTTGTCAATGTTTCTTCTTTATCTACAAAATAAAGCCCAGTTTCTTTAGACAAGAATTCCACTCCCTCCATGCTACCCTTCCCACAGTGCTGCTTCTCTTTTGCAGAGCAACCTGCCAAACTACTTACCATTCTCCAGATTGAATGAGGGTTTGTCTGAACTCCAAGACTGTTCTTTCTCTGTGGGAATCCTCCCACCTCCTTCCATTTAAATTAGAGTTCTTCAGTTTTTAAGACTGAAATCATCTTCTGTGTTCTCCACCATCAGTTCCCAAATAACACTGGTTTCCTTTCGTTATCCTTTCCACTGCACCTTGTACAGATTTCTATGTTAGTACCTGTACCAATCATTCATTATTTTCGTTTGCTTACATGGTAGTTATCCTTGCCCTTTATTAGCCTTTGTATTCCTAAAATCAAGATAAATAATGGGGTCCCTACACAAGACTGTTGAATGAGCAAATGAATGAATGAATAATTAATGGATATATTGGACTTCAGATTTTTTTTCAGTAGTATCCCCTACTCACCTAACGAGATTCTCCTTGTAGATAACACTAGTCTGGGATGGGCTCAGAGTTACATTGCCATCTTTGTCACACAGGAAACTGTCTTCTGTCCAAATGTAGTAGCCGTTGGTGAGGAGTCTGGGACTTCGACGACAGGTAAAGTGAGAACCTGTCAGGGGATCTGTGGAACAGCATTCAAAAGAACTGTCCCCATCCAGGAAATCACCAGCAAAACTAAAGAGGGAGTAAGGAAACGTCTTTTAATCTCTATCCATTGTAGTCAGGGAAACAACCTCTGGCACTCATAGCTACATAGAGTTCCTTTCTTAACTCTGAGAATGTCACTCTTAACCTTCTGGGCACCACCTATCACCTGAGAGAACACTGGCCTATAGGACCTCTAATGCTTCTCTCTGTTTTCAACTTTGATGTAAACACAATGGATACTCAGTCTCTTACAATGAAGCTCCATCCTTGACATCAGTTCAGTTTCTTGGATGGAAAAATTATAAACAGTCTCATGGGAATATTGGGTGCTCATAATCCCTCACCATCTTTTCTTTGACTAGTCCTCTAATGCCATTTCTTACTCTTGTCACTGGATTCGAGAACTTCCAACTATGCCTCCACCAGATGCCTATGAATTACATGTTTAGTATGCAGTTAAAGTGACCTTTTTGGCCTTTGCAATATTTCCCTCTATGGCAGTTGCACCAATGATTACAAATTACCATCCCTAATTCAGTATTCAGTGTCATCTCATACTTAGTTGGGTAAATCTGTATGTGTCTTTAGTTTAAAAATCTATCAGGTCCCCTCAGGGAAAACCCCCTTCTAAGACAGTGACTCAAGGGAATAGGGAATACATGAGAAGGCAGGTGGTCTTGTTGGTGATCACATTGGTCAACCGATAAGGGGAAGAAGGGGAAAAACAGCAATGAAGTTGTGAGCTGAGTCTGACCACGTTCAATAGACTTCTGTCAACCTGGGTTGAGACCTGGTTGGCCAGCAGTACGGCAAGACCTAGGGACAGAGGACTAGAGTGGAGAGGGAAGTGTCCAGCTGATATAAGGTGAGGGGAGCTGCAAAAGAACACCGATACTTGCAGGTAGTACCCACTTGACTTGGCTTCAATGACTGGATGAACAGAACTTGACTAGAGGATGAAAGAAGAGGAAAAAAAAGAGTAATCTGCAACAAATTGATGAACTTGACTTCTACTTATGGATGTAGTAGCTCAAAAGAGGGAATGAGTCTTTACAGTGAGAATCATTTCTACCCCGTTGGTACACAGGGTTGACAGGGATGGGCAACTTAGACATTGGCTAGCCAAAATGGGGAGTGGGGGTCTACAAAGGCAAGAAGTGACTGGTTTACAAGCTCTCAAGAGGAAGCCTAGTTCCAGAGGGTACAGGGGAAGGTAGAATCTCCACTGAGCGGTTTTCAACCTGTCTGGATGAGACTGGTGAAAGGAGATGGGAATAAGACTCTTGTGGTTCAATAGTGAATAATTGCTATCAGGACTGAATGTAAGGGTTGGAAATGTAAAGGTAGACATTTTGTAACAAAAGGAGGGGAGTGGCTGATCTTGCATTCCAGGAGCAGAGGACTCTAGGACCATCAAGGGAGAAGATCGGAGTGTGGGACCCTATCCAGTGAAGCAGTGACACCAGAGATGGAGGCAGAGATGATGAAGTGAAAAGGAGATGGAGCGGCTGGGGACTCTGGACTCAAGGAGGGACAGGGGCTGAGTGCTGAAGGCTGGGGAGCAGGCATGCAGGGTATGACCTTTGGTTGTTTGAATGGTTATATATCTCTGAGTGCTTCGGTGAACATCCAAAAATAAAAATAAAAAAAGGAATGGAAGTAAATGATGATGCATAGAGGGGATTATAATCATTGCATTGAAATGAAACACATAGGATTAATGTAAAACTGATGTTTTCCCATGTAAATGATCACTCAATTCACAATAAAAACTTAGAAAAAAAAATCAATCACATGCCCAAAGGATCAAAAACCAAAAATCAAACCAAATCCACTGCCATCAAGTCAATTCTGTTGCACACTGACCCTCAACCCTACCAAGGATTTCTGAGGCTATAAATCTTTACAGGAGCAAACAACCTCATTTTTCTTCCTCAGAGTGGCTGGTGGGTTTGAACCATCGACGTTGCAGTTAGCAACTCAATGCCAGCAACCAAAATTATTGAGCTGTTTGGAAATTCAGAAATGCTTGAGCTAGGAGTTGGTTAAAACAGGGTGCCGACAGTTACAGAGACATATGGCAGACAGGAATATATTATTTCCTCTGGCTACATGACTCGTTTGTTGTTTCCTCTCTCCTCCCACAAAAATTATATTTTTGGCCCAAACGTTAAACCTTAGCAGACTTCATTGTGATGTGTGTGTGTGTGTGTGTGTGTATATATATATATATATATATATATATATGCCTTCATAATTACTTTATACATTTCAGGAGGGCAGGGACTGTGTGCCTAATAGATGTTTAGTGTATAAACAAATTCAATCCTAGTTCCTTAAAGAAATCACCTGACAGGTTGTGGAAATCTAGTCTTTTAAAAAATATGTAATTTCTGACTCTATCTGAATTCTTAGGGTGGTTTCATGTCAATCAACCAACATCACTTAATAATAGCACTCATGTGCTTTTTACCTTGATGTTTTCAAAAACCTTCTTCAGACATCTATTCTACCTAATTGCATAAAACTCAAAGCCTACACTTCCAGAGAACCACAGCCTCTTAAGAACTAGAAGGAGTTTTGACCACCATGTCACCAAATCCACCAAATTCTGTTTGTCCCGCCTACTGTATTTCTAACACAAGTTATCTCTGCTTACATACCTCAAAGACAGGGATCTCATCATTTACCAAGTCACTTCCCAAGTACAGACCAGAGTGTAACGGGGAAGAGATGGAATTGGGAATCAACCTACTCTAAATCTATAATACTGCCTCTGCTTCTGATGAATGGGGTCACTTTAACCCAGTCTATCTGTCTCTCTGAGACTACTGCCCCTCAGTGAAATGAGAGAGAGATAACTTCCTTGTGGGATTGTCTTGAAAATCTAGAGAGAAAATAAATGGAATGTACCTAGCACATAGTGTATGCTTCCTAGATATTCATTTCTTCTCTCTCTTGTTTTTCCATTCTGTCTTTTGTTTGAGAACTAGATTTTTGCATAGTGCTTGGGTCCTCTCTTCTCCACACTAAATATCTTCCAGGTCATTTAACTCTTCTTCATATGACACAATGTGGGTTTGATCCTCCATTACTGTGTCTTACTGCTTTCTTCTGAGTCTTTTTCAGTTTTGAAAGCATAGACCCCAGTATTTTATGTGTATATGTCCAGCACGCCCCCCTCATTATAGAGTCCATGTCTTTATTGATGAAGCTTAAAATCATAGTTTTTTATTCTTCTTCCTCCCCACCCCAACAACCAAAATATTGTCTTTCTACTCCTTGGAAACCCTATACAGGATTGCTATGGGTTGGAATCAACTTGATGGCACTTAACAACAACAACAACTTAATTGATGGTCACTTTTGGCCTTTCCTTCATATATTTAGTCATACCTTCCCAAACTACACATTTGGACTTATTTCATGTTAGAAAATAATATTGTTGTTGTTGTTAAGTGCCTTCGAGTATAGAGGTTAAAAATAATGGCTTTGCATCTAGATATAGCTAATTTTAAATTTTTGGTGTGAAATTACTTGTTAATTATCTATTATTCTCAGGGCTTAATTTTCCATAAATGGGAATTTTACAATGGGAATCATAACCATCATTAACAAACCAGCTTCATAGAGTTGATTGAATGATTAAGTATCCAACTTCACGGAAGGTCCGTAGCTCTACCATGCCATGGATTAAGGGTTATCAACTCAGTCTCTTGGCTGCTGATAAATGAGCTCACGAGTCCACATGCCTAGAACTTTGAAAAGTTCTGATGATACCCTATAGCATTTTTTCAATATCTTGACAACTTGATGACATTAAAAATGTTATCCCTGGTGTCTACATGTCTTCAGCTCAAATCACTGATGGAAATATTGTACAAGAGCAGATCTGAAAGTTGGCAAACACCAAGAGGAACTTCCTTCCAGCTATGTACCAACTCACTTGACTAGCACATTTGGTTCTTATTACCGCTTTTATAGATAAGAAACCTGGGTCTTCACGATGATAAGTTAATTCTTCAAGATATCAACACTTACAAGTGAGAGAACCAAGATAGAAATCTAGGTCTTTTTTCTCCTAGTGTTATTTCTTCTACAACATTTTGCCTCCTCAAGTATTAATGATGGTTAGTGATGGTTATGCACCGTGGAGTCAGTTCTGACTCATAGTGACCCTGCATAGGATTTCTGAGGCTGTAAATCTTACAGAAGCAGAAAGTCTCATCTTTCTCCCGTGAAACCGCTAGTAGTTTCAAACTGCTGACCTTAAGGTTAACAGCCTGACTTGTAAACACTATGCTACCAAAGATCCTTAATGAAGATATTATAATATGCTGGACATTTGGGTTCTGAACTTGCACCTGGACAGAGTCTGGGCCTGTGTTTCTACCTGGATATCAATTACTAAGGTCTTAGTCCTGAGGTGGCATTGTAGGAAAATAACTGGACTGCTAACTGCAATATCAGTGGTTCAAACCCACCAGCTGCTCCTTCAAAACCTTATACAGGCACTTAACAATCACAGCAGCATTTAACAGCTTTCAGCTTCAGCATGCCAAGTCTCCTGGTAGCTTTCCTGTTTCGCACCTCTGTGTTTGTCTTTCCTCTCTTGATGATAAATTAAATGGAAGCACTTCCAACAGCTGGGTTACGGTAAAAAGAGATTCTTCTATATTCTCAGCAACAACACCACCAACAAAATACATTATGTATATAAAAAAATTCTTCCCCCAAAATAGCAAACATTTTAACCAGACAACATAGTATCTCTAGATCCTAACTCCATCTTCAATTATGTTTTCATTGTTGTTATGTGCCGTGGAGTCAGTTCCGACCCATAGCGACCCTGAACAGGGTTTCCGAGGCTGTAAATCTTTACAGGAGCAGATAGCCTCATCTTTCTCCCATGGAACCGCTGGTAGTTTCAAACTGCTAACCTCGTGGTTCTCAGCCCGATTCGTAACCCCTACGCTACCAGAGCTATGTTTTCATAGCCTTCAATTAAACCCACTGTCGAATAAGTTCTGACTCACAGTGACGCTATAAGACAGGGTAGAGCTGCCCTTTAAGGCTTCCAAGGTTGCAATCTTTATGGCTTCCTGGTGTGGCACTGTAGGATGAAGCATTGGAGTGCTAATGACAAAGTTAGCGGTTCAAATCCACCAGCCGCCCCTTGGAAATCTTTTCCAGGGTAACTATGACTCATAGCCAACTTGACAGCATTTAACAACAACAAACTGTATGGGAGCAGACTGCTACATCTTTCTCCCATGGAGTGATTGATAGGTTCGAACCACTGATTTTATGGTTAGTAACCAGGTGCTTAACCACTGCACCACTATGGTTCCTCTTAACAACTCTAAAACCAACATTAAACCAAACCCACTGCCACTGAGTCAATTCTAATTCATAGCAAGCGTACAGGACAGAGTACAATTGCTCCATAAGATTTCTCATGCTATAACTCTTTACAGGACCAGACTTCCCCAAAACCACTGGTGGCTTTGAACCACCAACCTTTCCACAAGTCCATGATTAACCCACTATGCCACCAGGGATCCTTTTAACAGCCCCAGTGGCAATTATTTTTAGTAGGTTCTTTCTAGGCTGACAGATGTCCAACACCAGCAACCTGCTCGATTTCCTAAAGACAAAATCTTTTCTTTCTTGTGGAACCCCTACCCAGACCTTAAGGAAGTGCTAGAGGTCATACCTCATAGGGCAGGGGGAAAAAAATAAAAATAAATAAAGGTCTATGAAGGGACACATATCATTGGAGTTAAAAAAAAATTAGATAAATTTTCATGCATTGAGGGGTCCTTTTTGTCTGTTTCTCTCAAGTTCTACTGAACTTGCAATATTTTCTTTTTTTTAAAAAAGCCTGTGCCCAAGTAAGACATACACTCAAGTTAATGAAATGCTATTTTAAATGGACATTATTTACAGAAAATGACTATAGGCCTGGCCCAATATTTCACACCTCACTTTTCGCAAACATCCCTGAAAGCTAAGTCTTGCTGCCTCATTGTACAGCAGGAAAAACACAAGGGGCATGAAATACAGAGTGGAAAATAATGGGTATTTTACATAGCTTTCTTGCTTCTTTTGGAGCAAGCGGCAGAGCTAGGATTTGCACCTTGGCCTACCTGATGCTAAAACATGCGCTCTTCACTTTGTGCCCGTTCATCCTTGACTGGCTCCTTTAGGAGATGCAGGGACGGATTCTAATGTCAGTGCATGACCCCTTTACACCATCCTCAATTCCCCAGAATGTCAGGCAGAAAGTCAACTGATGCTTCCATGAGAAGTTAAAGACAGATAGAAAAGAAGGAAGGAGGCGATGAAATCGAGAGAGACACCATTGAACAAAATGGCAAAGTCAAACAAGATGGTGGACTCTATATGTGTCGATGGAACATTCCATTTGGTTTGCGCATTAGTATGGAATGTTATATAGAAAGACATCAGTTTTAGGAAAAAAAATGTATAGTATTTCATAGCTATTTCAAAAGAAAATACATCAGTATTTTATAGTTTTTCCCTTTACCCCACAAATAATCAATTCATACAGACTCAGACCCAATATCAGGTTAGTATTTTGTATGTGCTTGGGACTGAAAATATAGAGCCAGAAAATTGAATGGTAACTAAACATAGTATTGTAAAACTAGAACCAAAACAAATGAGACATGAAAGAATGAAATTTGATTGAATTTTCTTGGGAAAAGCCCCAGGGGATACCTTGGGAAAATGCACTTGCGAAGTCGCTCTCCAAGATGTTCTTTCTCTGCCCCAGACGAACCTGAATCAGCAAATGGGAGAGATGAAGAAATGCATTGCCCGTTAGCAATAGACATTACACATCGCAGACACATATGAAGACAGTGGCCCTGGCTGATAGCCCAGGCTCAGTACAAAGACGTCAAATGTGCCACTCCTCAATGATGCAGTACTAACACAACTTGTCACCCAGCCGGCCTGTCCCAAAGCAAGAAAGAATGTAGGGGCAAGCCCCTTATGTCTCCAGTCTCATACAAGATGACATCGCAGGTTCCTTAGTGCAGAATGAAGCAATATCAAGTCACTAGCATCAAACTGACTTCATGAACATGAGGAAGAAAACATGTTGTGTGAAGCTGTAGGAAACCAAACTGACAGTACACAACATGTTGGTTATCTAACTTAGTCAGTAATTTGAGTAATTCACTAGTCTATCCAGATTCTTCCTTCATGAGTTTCATTTTGGGGGCATTTCCATTGTAAAATAATGAGCAAGAGACGTTGGTGGGGAAAAAAAACAACAAAACACATTTCTTTTTTATACATAAATGATTGTTCAGTATATGAAGTCAGTGAGTAGTCTTAATTTAAAAAAAAAGACACAACCATTCATTCATGCAATTTAACTAAAGACACGGCACCAGACTGCCATTATAGAGGGTTGTAGTTAATTAATATTCTAAAATCTGAAGTAGAATTTTATAAGGCACAGTTACATTGCCACATACTGCTAAGAGACACACTCAGTAAAATCTGATTCCATTACTGAAAATCAGTATCTAAGACAAGAAAAGAATTTAGACTTTCAGATCGGGTTGGTTGCTTTGTAAGGAGGAAATGGTGGGTGTGGGAGGGAGGGTTAGAAATGGGGTTTTGAGAGAAAAATAACGAAAGGAAGGAAGAAACTTAAAACATGATGGTTTTGGTTTGAACAACGCCCTTATTTTTTGCAAGTAGCTTTCAAAACCATTCAGTATCTTTTTTTTTTTTTTTTTTTTTGATGGACAGTTCTGCATGTTAATAGTAGCTGATAAACAATCTCCTTTCACATTTATGCACAGGCATCTAAAAAAAGAGATGATTTTTTTTTTCCCTACTCAAAGGAAAAAAATATCACATTTCTCTCAAGGAAAGAAATGAAGTCAAAATCATTGCCAAAGTGAACACTGGTATTTAAGAAGCACAAGCTACTGACAGATGGTTAATGGTCTGAGTATCAGCAAAATCAAAGCATGGAAATTGCTAAAAGGAGTCTAATCGTTCAAAAGATAATTGCACATCACAATTCTTCTACATTTACTTGCTTCTGGTGTTGACATCAGCTGAGATACTTGGTACATGCTGGGAAGGCCACTTGTTCAAATTTCACAGATCTTTCTGCAAAAGACATTCAAAGAAAGAGGTGGGTTATACATTAAAAACAGATAAATGATGCCAAAAGAGATGGCGCCTCCTAAGAACACTCAAGTCATATCTGTTTGCTGAAAAAAATACAGAGACAGAGAATTGAAGGCAGAGGACTAGTTGAAGGGCCAGTACTAGGTTTTTGCTTATCTCTGTGACTTAAATATTACTCGCTTCTTATGTCTAGCCCGTTTTTGCCTTTAAGTGTTGTTGTTAGGGGCAACTGAGTTGATGTCAACTCATTACCATCCCTGTGACAGAGGAGAACCACCCTAGGATTTTCTAGTCTGTCATCTTTCTAGGAGCAGATAGTCAGGGAGCTTCTCCCTTGAAATAACTTGTTGTTAAATGCCATAGAGTTGGTTCCAACTCATAGCAATCCTGTATAGGGCTTCTGAGAAACCACCAGTGTATTTCAACCACTGACCTTGCAGTTCAAACTGACTGTTTGGTCCAGTGCGTTATCCTGTTATGCCTTGAAGCAACTACGTGGGTTCAAACCATCAACCTTTCAGTTAGCAGCCAAATGCTTATGCTGGGCCACCAGGGCTCCTTTGCCCTTTAAATAAGAACATCCTTTTCTTTGGAAAAGTTAAACTTTAACAAAGGTTGACTTCCAAAATCAAACATGAAACTGAGTTATTTGATTAAGAAATATGAAGAATGCTTGGTTGTAGAAGATCCTCAAACCAAAGGATTGATATTTTCATCATCTTTTATGAAATCACCATCATGACCAAGTTACAAGCAATACTTGAGGACTTGCCTCTGTCTTTTGCTCAACAACTTAAACTGTTGACAATGAGTTATCAGAGAGGACCAGCATTTTTCTGTGGTTATCTTTCTGGGCATTCCTAAACACAGCAAAGCACAGTGCACTAAAAATAGCCCTCACTGGGCAGATTTCAAACTCAGTTTCCATGAACTTATCATTTACTTTTTCCATTGCAAATTAAACTTTTATGTAAGTATATAAATTACATAAACTTTGATCACTTCCTACTTATCACATAAACATACTTTGTGGCTAACACTGTCCTAAGAGTTTAATAGTTAGAACTAAATTCTTTTCTGATTCATGTCTTCTATTGACATTTAAAAATACATATGATAACTAGTAATGGATTTTTTTTCATAGCTGCAATACACTAAATCAAATGAAGCTAATTCTATGGCTCCAAACTGCTTCTTCACGAAGTGACACAAAGCTCACTATTAAATAGAGATCTTGGTTTAGAAGATCAGAAGAACTTGCTAGCATTCCTTGGAAGGTCTCTAAATCACAGCACACGTTCATGCATTTCATTTCTCTGGAATATCTGATAAGATATTTTATCACTTGTCCTTTTAATTTTTCATCAGTGCAATGTGGATAAGCTAGACCAAACTACTCTCTGTTAGTTTTTCTTAAAGACTAAAATCTAAGCCAAGGCATTCTATGGTACAAAGCAAGGTCTTACTGGTATAGTTTACAAATACTACAGTCTACTGGCATAATACTAACAGTTCATTGAGAATTAGTACCACTAAAAAAGATTTAAATTACATATTTCAAGAACTTTTCAAGATACAGATTCTATCTACCAGTTCCATTGAAGTATCATCTCTGTTTTGAAAACTCATTAACCCGTCAATGTTCCTTCCAAAGGGAATTCCACCTCCTCTTCCAATTCATAAACAACAAGATAATTACTGAAGTGCAATTCATCCCCAGGTTGGCAGCCAGCAGAGATATCCAAGACTTTGTGGTTCTTCAGCTGGAAATAGTGTCAGAATGTCAACAGGTGCCGAAGTGTCTTAATAACGGGAAACCCCAGCTTCCACTCCTTCCAAGAGAGGTTGACACATAGTGCCTGGCGCAGGCATTTGCAGAGAGATGTTTGGTCTTTGGCTGCTTTGTGGAACAGAACAGTGTGTCGTACTTGAGAAAGGCAGCCTTACAACCTCTGTTGTTTTCTTTCAAAAACCGCTTTCGTAACCAGAAGCAGAGAGGCAGGGTGAGGTCACACTTCCTGCCTGGCTCCCATCTGAGACAACTGAGCTGAGGATCCTGTGAAAGTTGAAGAGCAATTCTTGGGCCAGCAGCAGGGGACATGCAGGCCCTGAGCCAGGCCAGTTGGAAACACTGCAGCTCTAAGAATGCCTGCCTGAGCTAACCAGTCACTCCTGGCTATGAGGACATGAGATAAACTTTCCGGAAAGGGATGCTCTTGGCTTTCCATTGTTGGGCCATTTTCAGTTATGAATAATCAGTACACTTGGTCCAGATCACTTAAACCTATTAGGGATACTGGAGTCCTGGTGTGGCACTGTGGCTAATGTGCTGGACTGCAAAGTCAGTTTGCACCACAAGGTCGGTGGTTCAAGCTCACCAGCCCACTCCTTGGAAAGCCTATACAAGGTCACTATGAGTCAGAACCAACTCAACGACACTTAACAACAACTGGTGATGGATTGATGCCACCAACATTTCAAATACCAGCAAAGTCACCCAGGAAGGATGGGTTTCAGTGAAACTTCTAGAGTAAGACTAGGAAGACAGACCAGAGGATCTACTTCTAAAACTTAACCAACATGAACCCTATGGATCACAAGAGAAATATGTCTGATATGGTGCCCTTGTAGTGTAGTAGGTTTCAAGCTGGGCTGCTCACCTCAAGGCCAGCAGTTTGAGCTTTTCAGTGGCTCCATGAGAGAAAGATGAAGCTTTCTGTCCCATAAAGATTTACAGCCTCAGAAACCCCATACTGCTTCGCTATGAGTCAGAACCGACTCCACAGCACACAACCACCACCATCACCATAGTGATATTAAAAAGTGCCCTCTAGGTGGGAAAGTACTTGAAATACACAGTGGCTGAAACAATGAACTTGAGCTCACCGATCATTGTACAGATGGTGCAGGACTGAGCAACATTTCACTTTGCTGGGCCTAAGGTTGCCGTGAGTGGGCACAGACGATACGGAAAATAACAACTGCAGTATGCGGACACAATTAAATTCTGTTCTTGTTGCTTTGTTTAGTTCCATCGATCGAGTCGGTTCTGACTCATACAAACCCTGTCAACTTTGCAGTTCGAACTAAACTTGCAGTTCAGCGCATTAACCCGCAGCACCACACCAGGACTCCAGCCTTGTTGTTATTAGGTGCCGACAAGTTGGTTCCAACTCATAGCAACCCTATGTACAACAGAATGAAACCCTGCCTAGTCCTGAATTGTTGCTGTGTTTAAGCCCATTGTTGCTGCATCTGTGACAATTCATTTCAATGAAGGAATTTCTCTTTTTCTCATGGTGGTAGAGGTAGTTGTGTGCTCTTGACTCAGTTCTGACTTATAGCGACCTTGTATAGGGTTTCTGAGACTGAAATATTACGGGAGCAGAAACCCTCATTTTTCTCCAATGGACCACTGGTAGAGTCAAACTGCTGACCTTGCAGTTAGCAGCCCAATTTGCAACCCTCTGTGCTATTAAAGCTTCTTTCTAACCCTGTTGTTTGTTGTTGTTAGGTGCCATCGAGTTGGTACGGACCCATAGCGACCCTATGCACAGCAGAACGAAACACTGCCCGATCCTGGCCCAACCTCACTACTGTTGCCACGCTTGAGTCCATCGAGGCTGCCACTTGGCCAATCCATCTTGTTGGGAGTCTTTCTGTTTTTCTCTGACCCTCCACCTTACCAAACATGATATCCTTCTCCAGCGACTGGTCCCTCCTGACAATATGTCCCAAGTATGAGAGAGGAAGTTTGGCCATCTTGGCCTCCAAGGAGCACTCTGGTTGCACTTCTTCCAGAACGGATCTATTGGTTCTCTGGCAACCCATGGCACTTTCAATATTCTCCCACACCATAACTCAAAAGCATCCATTCTTCTACGGACTTCCTTATTCACTGTCCTGCTTTCGCATGCATATGAGGTAAGAGTAACGAACTACTTCTAAATATCTAGTCACTGAAAATCTTATGAATAGCAGAAAAACACGGTCTCTAACCCTGGATACAATTAAATTGCATTAACTTGAGTTTATGAGCTTTTCTGTAGGGGAAATACATTGATTCACCAAATACTGAGCTTTACATGAAAATGCACAGAAGACATCTTATGTTTTAAATTTGTATTTTAGCAGAACTCACCTAATGTGATACTTTTTGAGGGTCCCAACACATGTCTGTGATTCAAGATTATTTGCTCTGAGAAAGCTTTTGTCACAAAACATCTCCTAAGACCTGTGTTCTAGAGTAACTTCACAAAAGTCTAAGCCATGCGCCAGCTGGGGACCTTGTTAAAGTCAGTAGCTCTGCGGTCACACTGTTGTTGTTACTGTTAAGTGCCATCGAGTCGGTTCCAAACCATAGGGACTCTGTATTGGGTTTCCAAGAAGAAACTGGTGAGCTTGAACCGACAATCTTGCGGTCCAAACCAACTTTGAGGTTCAAACCGACATTAACCCACAGCGCCACCCCAGGACTCCAAGGTACCATGAAATTCTGCATTTATTATCTGTTTCCCATGTGCTCCAATGCTGCGGGCCCACAGGCCACTCTTTGAGAAACAGAATGCTAAAGAATACACTTTGTGAAATGCTACTGATAGGGCTCTGTAGGATAAACACAAGGGTGATGGTTCAAACACACCAGCCACTCCCCAGAAACTCTTCAGAAGGTCTCTGTGAGTCAGAATCACCTCAAGGGCACTTAACAACAACAAAGTGTAAATTAGTAAATATAAAATAATTAATAAAAAGAATACTGCAACCAACTGAAAAACATACATGAATGTTTGCCTAAGTCTCACAGGTACTCATCAGGCCTCTTCCTACTTCCTACCTAAGCCCAATCTTGCACAGATGTTCTGTGTCTCATTAGGAGACAGCAGCTTCCACTTAACTGCTGGTGCTGGAAACCAAGAGTAATCAACACAACTCTACGTGATGC